TCCAGGATCATGACCTGAGCCGAAGGCAGTCACTTAACCAACTGAGCCACCCAGGCGCCCTACTTTGATATTTAAAATCCAGAAAAAGCCAGCAAGCCTATTTCTTGGAACTTGATGGCTATGCAGACTGCCTTAAGGGAGAGCACTTCTCAGTAGTCTCACTCTCTAGTGAGCCACGGCCTGCTATCCCAGCAGGCTCCGGGCTGAGTCTGTTTAGAGCAGGGATTCTACACCACCCCTCTCCTCAAAAGGGTGTCTTGTCAGTGCATTGAACCTTCAGCAAGGCGGGAAAGGGAGTGTCAGACATAATGAATCAAAGGTACAGCTTGTCAGGAATTTCCATATATAGTAAGTCAGACACAGTTTGGCGTCCCTTGTGCAGCCCGGACAAGTGGGTATTGCATTGAAGACTCCTGGAAGGGAGACTGTTGGGAACTACAGCAGACGGCCTTGCTCAGTATCAAATTCACTGACCTCTACTGGATCTTTTTCAGTAGATCTGGGCAATGGGAAGGGATCCCCTCCTGCTATGCTCCTCCTGTTTGAGCCAGAACAAAGCCGGAGCTTGAAGAAAATGGTGCTAGATTTGGAGAAAGAAAACCAGGTTTTGTGTCCATATTCTTTTCACAGACGTGTAGCTGGAGCTGGAAGATGACTTACGGAATTCAGCTGGTGGGGGGTGGGGCACCTACACAGAGTGGTTAGGTGAGAGTAACTTACAAAGGTGCACACATACATGTTGTTATTTGGCTTTGTCATTATCTCTGCCTATAATTCGAAGTAATGGGCATTCCTAAATACACTGTCTGTTATAGCAGTGGGTTATTTCCACCAGGGCTTCCTTCATAAGCCACATCTGAATTTTTGGAAACAAATCAGATTTGAGCAAAACCAGGAGGGATAACGAAAGGGGAAAGCACACTGTTCTCTGCAGTGACAGTAGAAAAAAGAGAGGGGTGCCAGTGAAGAAGAGTGACTTTCATGAATGCCACAGAAAATGGCATCACCCTCCTGCCAGTCACACATAAGGAAGGATCAGGCTCTCAGTCCCTTAGTCTGGGCATCTCTTTGTCCTGGCAAGCAGGAAAGGGTCTAAAGTATTTCTGTTTCCTATAAATTTTGGAGCTTGGGTTTTCTTTCTTTCTTTTTTTAAAGATTTTATTTATTTATTTGACAGAGAGAGAGAGAGCAGGAACACAAGCAGGGGGAGTGGGAGAGGGAGAAGCAGGCTTC